ACACACACACACACACACACACACACACACACACACACACACACACAAACACTTACTGTGTATGTGCATATGTGTGCATATTACAACACACATGTGGAGGTCAGAAGGCAGCTTGCAAGAGTTGGTTGGGGCTTGGCATCAAGCAACTTTACCACAGATCCATACTAGCCCCCTCTCTAGCCACTTTAAGACAGAATCTTGCTCTATGACCCAGGATCTTTCTGCCTCAGCCTCCTGAATGCTGGGTTTTTATGAGTGTGCACCACCATACTTGGTGCAAGAAAATACTTGTGCACTCAGAAGGGAAGCCTCCAGAGTACCACAGACAAGGCCTTGGTGTCTTCCTGAGGCCATCTTGTTACTCGGCTTTCTTGCTTGTTTGTAGGGAAGTCCCACCGGAAATATGACATGAGACATATACACAGCAAAACAGTCACAAAAATGATATAATAACAACCACATCTTACAAATAAATTAGGGGCCGAGGGCAGAGGAGATGGCTTGGTGGGTAGTACAGTGCTTGTTGTATGCACATGAGGACTTGAGTTCAAAGCCCTACATGGAAAGCTGGATGTGGTAGCACAGATCTCTAATCCCAGTGTGTCTGTGACGGGAGACTGAGACAGGAGAATCCCTGGAAGCTCAGGGTCCAGCTTGCTCCAGATACGCCACGGCAGACAACAAAGAGACTGTCTCCAGGTGGAAGGTGAGGATGGATACATGTGAATGGGCACACCCCCTCTCATGCACACATCTCTATCACACACAGAGATTACAAATAAAGAAAGAATCAATTAGGAGCCCCAATTATTTACAAAACCATTTTCTTTGCAGAAAATGCAGAGGTGAAGTATTTGTCGCTATGGCAACAGCAAAAATTATTACTGAGAAAAATCACAGACACATTTCTAAGTGGTATTATCTTAAATACTCACTAGAAATACTTCAACATCTTAATACGTGCTACACAGATATGACTGTGTTACTTTATTCAAGCACAGAAAACATGTCCCTACTAGGTGAATGGTGTCAGCAGGCTACAGAGCCAGTGTAACAGAAAAGAAGCAACAGGTGTCCCCTTTGGGTGGACAATAGCAAAAACTGATCGCCACGAGCACAGATACACAGAAAAGCATCAGCAATATGATTTCATACAAGGGCTTTCTTCTTACAAAGAAGAAAATGTCACTTAGGTTATTGCCAAATTTCAATAAGAGCTTCATTGTGGCTTTTATGCAAGAGGAGACAATGGTTTGTATTCACATCTGCACAACACCAATTCTTTAGGCTGATGGCTAATCCAGAAGCCAGAACCTCAAGACTGAAGTCTATGGCTGGGGGATACATAGCCTTGAGGTGGAGTGCTTTTAGGAGGCTGATGGGTTCAATCCCCAGGACTCCAAAAAGAATAAATAAAATGAAGGAAAAAAAAAGGATTGATGTCTACGAGGTGGATTTGGTGTCCCTTCAACCATATAGATACACACAGACAGACAGACAGACAGACAGACACACACGCACACACACACACACACACGCACGCACGCACACACTTACTGCTTCCATGGACTTGGTCAAGTTGCTCCACAGAACTCAAAGAAAACAGCTTGTAGCCGGCCTTGGTTCCGATTGCTAGGGACCTGCAGAAGACAATGACATCACGGGTATGACAACAGATACCACACCCAACCACAGCCCTGTCTGAGGACTCACAGCCCTTTCTTTCCCCAGAGGCTGCTAAGTGCAGGTCAACAGACATCTTCAGGACTCAGATCCTTGATAACCCACTCAAGGCAAAGCACGCTTTGGCAGACAGTTGTGAGGAAAGGGGAAAAGGTCAAAGGAGACTTCTTAAGAGGCAGAAAGTGCCTGGGCTCTGCCACCAAGCAAAATGTCAAAGCTCCTACAGATCTTGTTTTGCCAGCTGGGCAGGCATAGGAAAGAAGGAATGCTTAGGGACGGTCATTGTATCTCCACTTCCACAATGCTTGAGAGATCATCTCATTGTTCGTTTGGGAAGTCCTTTACCGCAGGGTGAGTAATTATCATTATGTGTATGTACATGCTCGTGTGTGTGTGTGTGTGTGTGTGTGTGTGTGTGTGTGTGTGTGTGTGTGTTGTATGTGCTGTCCACACAACAGGGAGCTCAGCAGATAGTCAAGGCTGGCTGGCTAGCCAGCCCAGGGAGGGATCTGCTAGTTTCCACCTCCCCAGAGCTGGGGTTACAAGCATACACCAACTCATCCAGCCTTCTTTCTTCCTTTCTTCCTTTCTTTCTTCCATCCTTCCCTCCCTCCCTCCCTCCTTCCTTCCTTCCTTCCTTCCTTCCTTTCTTTCTGTTATTATTACTATTAATAATATCATAATTGATTCTAGGGCTCAAATCTACATCTCACTGACTCAGCTATCACCCCAGCCCCAATTTTCCACTTTTAACTCATAAATAAAGGGAAGGTATAAATCCAAGTTGCTGTTTTTTGTTTGTTTGTTTGTTTTTTGTTTTCCTTTCTCTCAACTTGATACAAGCTACAGTCATCTGGGAAGAAGGAACCTTGATGGAAAAAAATGCCTCCCCATCAGACTGGCTTGTAGGCAAGTCTGTGGGGGTATTTTCTTGATTAATGAGTGACGTGAGAGGACTCATCCCACTGTGGGTGGTGCCATGCCTGGACAGGTGGTCCCAGTGGAATAAAACAGCAAGTCAAGTGACTCATAAGGAGCAAACTGGTAAGCAGCACTCCTCCATGGTTCTGCTTCATTTCCTGCCTCCAGGGTCCTGGCTTGAGCTCCGTACTACCTGCCTTTCCCTTCATGATGGACGGTAAGTGATCTAAATCCTTTTCCTCCCCATGTTGCTTTTGGTCATAGTGTTTAATCACAGCAATGGAGAGCAAACTAAGATGCCAGGTATCTTTGGTGATGTAACGAAAACAAAATGTGTGACCAGGTGCAACCCCAGCCCTCTGAAGCCGATCAAGAGGACCATACATTTGAGACCAGACTGTACTACATGACAAGACTGTGTCCCAAAAAAGGAAAAGAGAAAGCAAATATGTCGCCTCTAGTTGGCATTTCCAAATCACCTCTCACCTCTCCTGCTTTGTTCTCAAAAACTGAATGAGACCAAAACCTCGCAGAGAACCTCTTAGGATAAGCCGTGTGACCACAAGCACTTCTGCCCTAGGAATGTCAGGGTTGAAATGGGCCTCCCAATGGTTCAATCCAACTTCCCCATTGACAGCAAATATATGCCAAGCTGAGATTCGTCCTTCACAGGGAAGCATATACTAAAATAAGCAACTTAGAAGCCTGGATGCCAAGCCTCTTGTTTCGATACCTAAAAAAGAGAAGGTCACATGATTTTTATTTTCCTTCAGAATTCCCTTTTCTATGCAAACATCTGTTCTTTCCTAGGATATAGGAACAAGCATCTACTGTCAACTTTGAATCAGCAAGGCACACAGGAGCCCTCCGACCTGAGGAGCGGCCATGTTCGTCCCGTGGACGGCTTCATTGCTGCTACAGGACTGTGAAGCCTGGGGTTTGGCACCCGCACTTAGGACAAACGCCAGCGGCTGTAAAAGCAGGGGAGGAGCATCTTCGAACTCTAAAATACACTGGAGCGGTTGCTACTCTGGGCTTTTGTTTTGTTTTCGGATGCAGTTTTCATGTAGCCCAGGCTGGCCTTGTAAACGTGCTAGGACGGAGCTCAGGGCTTCATGCATCAGAGACAAGCATCTACTAATTTAGTGACAGCCTCAGCCCTGATGAGTGTTTTTAAACTCTCTTCTTATAAGTGCAGACACATTGAGTCGCAAACAGAAGACGTAAAGCTTGCAAGTAAGGAGAAAAGACACAGGAGAGTCCTAAAACAAAACTAAAAGAGAGACGTAATCCCAACATTTGGGAGAGGAGGCCGAGGCAGGTGGATCTCCAGTTGGAAGGCACCCAGGGCTACATAAACAAAACAAAGCAAGCTCCACCCGAAACAGCAACAACAAATTAACCAAAAGGCTTAGCAATTTAAAGGGGTTGTCAAGGGCTGGTGAGGTGGCTGAGCTGTAAGCCTGGCGATCTGCATTTGAACCCAGACCCTGGGAAAAGGTGGAAGAAGAAGATCCAACTCCACAAAGTTGTTCTCACACCTTCTCATGCGCACTGTGGCCAGTGTGTCTCCCCTCCCCCCATCATGGATACACACAGCAATAAGTAAGTTCAAAAGCATAATTTTCAGGCGTAAGTTCTGATTCCGGGACAAATGAGTTTCTTCTTTATTTCTTCATTTTATGTTTGTGAAGGGGTCTCTCTCTGCTACTCACGCTGCCTCTGAGGTTGTGGGCTGAAGTGATCTTTCTACTCCTGCCTCGGGAGGACCTAGGATCATCACAAGCTGCCACACTGGGCTCAGAAGGGTTGCGTTCATGAGAAAAGAGCACGCTGATCACTGTTTTATTCTAAATGATTGCTCTAGGACTCTGAACGACTCCAAATCAAGGGCTTCAGATTTATGTCTTATTTTATCCCATACGTCCTTTCCACAAAAACAAACTTCTCATAGAAGTGGAGTTGAGACAAATCCGGATCACAAGTTTTAAAATACACCCAAGGTGTCTAGCCCAGCTCTAAAGCATTAAGAATGAGGTAGCTGACAATTTAATTCTCTTTATCTATCTTCTCTAGACAGACTGGATCTCAAGCTCAGCTCATACATATAGAAAAAGACACACCAATTCTCCCAAATGCATCCAGCAAGGAAGATGATTTATTTTAAAATTCAATGTCATACCCTCCAGGGCTCCAGGCAACTGACTGTGACAAGTCCTTTATTTATAGGTAAGACAGCGCTGCCCAGAAGAGCCTTCACCCAGGAAAGCAGAGCTGCAGGAAGGACCAAGGAAACCAACTTTCAAAGCACCTTGCAGTTTTGAAAAACAGCATTCTTATCCAACTGTTACTCTGTATTATTTAATAACTAGAGTAGACAATAACATTTGTTTTCCAAATCCAATAATATCAGGAAGTGTAATTTAGATGACTTACTACTTGTAAGTAAACTACCCCCCCCCCTTTTTAACCTATGTTCAAGTGGGAAGGAAAACACTGCCCAGCATTTCAACAGACATACACTCTTGCAAAAGTTTCTTACAAAACTTCAGAATTTTATCTATTTTATCATGCATTTAAGTCTCATCTCCAGAGGATCCCCCAAACAACTCAACAGGTTACAACAGCTTTAAAAACAAATAAAGACATAAAAATCCCAGGGCCTGGAGGCTGGAATGTAGCTCAGTGGTTGAGTCTTTGCTAAGGGTGATTGAGACATTGGACCTTATGCACCCCACCCCATCTCACACCACACACACACACACACACACACACACACACACACACACACACACGACAATAGGGATAGTAGGTAGGGTTAGGCTTGTCTAGCAAGCATAAAACCCTGGATTTCATTCCCAGCACTACAGTATGATGATACGACGCTACTTCCTATAATCCCAGCATTCCAGAACGGGAAACAGGAGGAGCAGAATTTAAAATTCATCCTCACCTACTAGGGAGTTCAAGGCCGTCTGGATTACACAAGACTGTCTCAAAACAAAAAGAGAACAAAATACCAAGAAAATCCCAGAGTGTACCACACTTAATAGTTTGTGAATGTTACTGTTACGTGTCTATGGCTATTGGGAGATGTTGTAATAAGTCCTTTTTAATGTGGGTTGTGGTCAGAGGCAGCCTGAGAGTCACTCATCCAAGCAAACTGTTGAGTTACTCGATTACGATTACACATACAGATTTTTCAAACAAAGACATATTGTTCAGAGCAGAGGTTTTCAGACAGAAACACAAAGGGAATGGAAACCAGGGCTGCTTATGTCCTTAATTACACCACCGAATGTTCAATATTAGCACAGCTCAGCCACCAGCAGCCAAAGCCCAAGCCTGAAGCTGACTCCAAAACAAGGAACAGGGCAGAAACTGGTACAGCCGGAAGTAGGGCACTGGGAAGTGGTCATCCCTGCCCTAGCTGCTTGATGCTTCAGGGCTCCACATTCCAAAGAGATTATTCCATATGGTCCTCAGGCTGGCTTCCATGAAAACAGGGAAGGAAACAGAAGTGTGCTGATGTTTAGATTCTAAGATCTAATCCTGCCTAAGCCTAGAACGTAATTCCTTGTTCGTGGACCAAAGTCTAAATGTTGACCATCAAAGTGAAACATTAAAAATCCACTTAAAAGCAACAGGGTGGAGCGCCTCCTTCCGGGATGGGAAGCTGTCTGGGGCTGAGAGAGGGCTCCTGAGCTTCCCGGAGGAGATTCGTGGGACTGGGTGGACGGTAAGAAAACACAGTAAGGGAAATTTAAAAGAAAGCTTCCTACAGCCAAGCCACCAGCCAGGATGCCCCGTCGCTGGGGCTGGCCTGGCCACAGGGATAAGCTGCTTCTTTGTCCGCGGCCCTGCCCAAATGCCACGTTGAGATACTCAAGGACAAATGGTAAAGTTTTCCCCATCTTCCCAACTCTCTCATCCTCTTGAGTCAAGTTGCACCTTCCCCCGCTCCCGTCGCCTTTGTTTTGGTCCCAGATCTCCCTTCGGTCACTAGGTGGCCCACACCAGGTCCCCCACATTCAAGGCCCCCTCCACCCTGCTCCTGGCTGACTTCTTCGGGTCACCCTGGCCAGCCCCTTCTGGCAGGCGCCCGCAGTGGAGGGAGGGGTCGTCCGGGTGGGTTCAAGCCCCACTGCGGAGCAACCGCGAGACGCAGGCTGCCCCACCGAGGTACCGTCCGCCGGCCGGCCCTGGCTGGCCACCAGTTGCGTTACAGGACAACACCCTTTGGTGGCGACATTCTGTCCCCCACTTCCCCGGCCAAGGGGCTGGCGCCGTGGCTTACGTGCAGTCTTGGTTGAAAGAGAAGCAGCTGAGCGCCGCCTCCACCCGACCCGGAGGGGCATCGGCGGCTTCGGCCTCCATGAGGGGCTCGACCCGGGAAGCCGCAGCTTGGAGCGGGGGACAGCCACCTCAGCAGCCCGCCCGCGCCGGCTCCGTCGGCCGGCTTGCCGCCTCGGTCCCGCCCCGGTCTCGCCCCCAGGCAAGCCCCGCCCACTCGGAGCCCACGTGGCCCCGCCCCCTCTCTAGGCCCACCCCCTTAGAGTGGCAGCTCGGTCCTGGACTAGCCGGACCCTTCCCCGCCCAAGTAGTACTTAGCCCCGCCCCTTCCTCGAGCCCCGCCCCTCCCAGCTCCAGCCCTACCTGAGTCCCCCTCAGACCTGCCCCAACCCATTTCCCCCTTAGCCTCGCCCCTGCACCTAGCCCCGCCCCCTCCCCACCAGGTCCGGGACGGATCGGCTTCTACTCAGTTCGGCCTTGCCTCTAGCCCCGCCCCCTGCCCAACCAGGCCTCTTAACTTGGGAACCGAACAACTGACAGAACAGGGCCTCCTCAGCCAACCACGATTGGCCACCAGCTTTTTTTTTTGACCAATCAGTGGTGGCAGTGGGCGGGGCCGTTGCTGACGACCCGCCCCCGATTCCGAGACACCGCTTGCCATTGGCTGAAGGTGCGCGAGGCAAAGGCAGCAGGCCACGTGGTGGTGTTTTCATTGCCGGAGCGTCCAGGGTTGGGGGAGGAGGAGTGGAGCTGCGGGCTTCGGGCCTGCCAGAGCGTCAGGGACGACGCCAAGGAGGCGGGCGGACGCCTGCTTTCCCAAGCCAGTCCTCGGTCCCCGCCCGTTAAGCTTACAGAAGAGTTGAAATCAGTAGACATCAGAGCCCCGCCCTCTTGGAGAGTCCTTAAACTTCTTGGAGAGAAGTTCCCTGAAAGGCTGCTGTGGTTGATAAGAAGCCACCCACAGCCCTACGGTTGAGAAAGAGCTTTCTTGCTAATCCCAAGCATTGCATTAACATGACATTATCTCCTTCTTAAGGAATCTTGTGTGGAAAATACATTCATACCCGATTTCCTGAAGACGCAGTTGAAGTCCTTGCTAGACAACGTATCTAAAACCGACAATATGCAGTGGCATGTAAACTGGTCTTCTTTCAAGACTTGTGTGCCAAACACCTTTGCTCGACAGTATTTGGCGAGACATTTGATTTATAGAAATGAAAGAACCTAGAATAGGACGTGAAAGGGGTAACGTCTTGAAGACAGTACAGTGTGAAGCTCATGTAATTTGAGATGCATTCTGACACAGGAGATTTACTTCCCAAGCTAAATACTTGAGTACAGTTGTGACATGTCTGGAGTGGGTCCTGGGAAACTGAATCCCAGTCATCAGTTAGACATCAATAGCTTTTAAGTGCTGAGTCATCATTCCAGCCCCTGAAATATTATTATCATCATTATCATTATTATTTTAGTATGCCATAGCTCTTTAGATTGCAGAAATTCAATTCATATTCAGTCACCTTATTTTTTCTTTCTTTCTTTCTCTCTTTCTCTCTTTCTTTCTTTCTCTTTTTTTGAGACAGTCTCTCAGGCTGTAGTCCACACTCTCCTCGAGCACACGGTGATAGATCCTCCTTCCTTGGCCTCCCAGAGGCTAGGATTATAGAAACAAACCACCATGCTCAGCCATATTTCCCCAATTCATGACAAAATTGTACACATCATACATTGATAATTGAATTTCAGACTTAGAATGGACGAGCAAGAGGGGCCTGTTTCACATATAAACTTTTCTGCTTGGTTCTCCAATTTGATTTTTCCAAAATAACAATATAACAGTTTATCTTCTCAAGTCAGTTGTTCTGTCAGCTAGCAGATCTACCCCTGGTGATTGCTCCAGGGGCAATCCAGTTGTGAGGCATCGTATGAACTAAACCAAGCGTAAAGAAGTACTCTTTGGATGTTAACCTCTACATCTACAACCTTCCCCTCCGGTCCCAGCTGCATCTCCTTTCATGTCTTGGCTCTGCCAAGTGCTTCGGGCCTTTCAGTTTGGTGGAAAGAGTCAAGAGCCTGGCAGTTTTGGTGTTAGGTTCCTGGAAGTATTTGATGGCATGCCCAGTAAGGTTTTAAAGTGAGGCCCGTTATCAGCTTGTGATTAAACAGTTAGACTCTGTGGGGCCAGAGAAGGGGTTGGTTTTTGCCTAGGAGTGTGTCATGATAAAAGCAGTGTCTTGGGCAGATAAACTCGGCCAGTGTGTGAAGATCAAATTAGAAGGCCTTGAAGCCTTTAGGGAACTGACATGACATTCTTGGAGCAATGGAACATGGGACTAGGCTAATGTGATGATGCTAACAACAGAAAGGTTAGGATAAATGCAAGAGATATTTGGAGACATCACCGCCCAACAGAAAAAAATGGAGGGCACACGTAGGAGACTCATAGATTCTGAAATTTTCTGGAAGGAATAATTTGAAAAGTGAAGAAGAAACAGGCAATAGGGCTAGCCAGATGGCTCAGTGAGTGAAGGGGTCTGCTGCACAAGTCTGGTGGCCAGAGTTCAACCCCCAGGACCCCGTAAAGGTGGAGAGGGAGAATCAACTCCACAAAGTTGTCCTCTGACCTCCACGTGTGCTCTGTGTTATGTGCACCCCTCATAATCAACTCTCGTGATAATAAATAAAACAAACAGGTAGGTTCATTTTTAATATATTCTGATATATGTAAATATATCAATATGTAAAAACAAGGATGCAAAGTCAGGGGGGCATGGGAAAGAAGCAAGGTGGAACTGAGAAACAAAGATTCCAACACAATAAATGACATTTGCTGTGAAGGCTGCCAACAAAAAGACAATATTCCTTTTACACAGAAATATTTTCAATTGTCACTGGATGGTGGTGGCTCACACCTTTAATTTCAACACTCTGGAGGCAGAGACAGGTGGATCTCTGTGAGTTCCAGGTCAGCCTGGTCTATAGAGTGAGTTCCAGGACCATCAAGGACACAGAGAAACTCTGTCTTGAAAAACAAAAAAAGAAATATTTTCAATTAAAAATTTTTTTTTTAAATGAGGCTGGAGGGGTGGCACTTGCTGCTCTTCCGGAGGACCAGAGTACAGTTCCAGCACCCACATCAGCTTGCTCACAACTGCTTGTAACTCAGCTCCACGAGACATGATGCCCTCTTCTGGCTTTTGTGGGCAGCCTTTACACACACACACACACACACACACACACACACACACACACACACACACCACATTCTCAAAAATAAAAACAGAGTGAAATCTTAAAAAGTTTTCCAATAAACTCTGATTCTGCTTCATTCAGGCTCATCCTAAAATTCCTTTCTGCATTGTGACCAACAATCTGGTTTGTGTGAGTGGCAGTCCCTAAAAGATTATAGAGACTCCCCAGGAGGCAGGCTATAGTGTGGAGCTGTGCCTCTTCCTCTGGAGCTACTGCTACTGTGTGTGTGTGTGTGTGTGTGTGTGTGTGTGTGTGTGTGTGTGTGTGTGTATATTGTTTTAATAGTCAACATAAAATTAATTTAAATATATTTATTTTATTTTTATTTATGACTGTGTGGATGTGTGGGGGCGGGTATTGTGCTCCATTGCACATGTGGACAGAGGACAGCTTTGTGGATTTGGTTCTCTCCTTCCACCTCTATGTGGGTTTAGGGGATCAAACTCCAATTTCTAGGCTTTGTTTGGTAATGTACCTCACCAGCCCTAATATAAAATTATTAATCAGTTAAATTATATTTCAATTTTAAGCAATAAGCATTTAAAATACACTGTGTGTTTTCCACACCTCATCTCCTCATAACCCCATGTTCAGGTCTTTGGTAGGATTTTGAAGAAATAAAGGGCAGAGCACAGTAGTGATGTAGTGATGTAGTGATACAGTGATGTAGTGATACAGTGATGTAGTGATGTAGTGATGCAGGGAAGAAGGGGGAGAATCAGAGCTAAACTCCCCTTTGGAAAGAAGCCTCACTGTGTTGCTTTTAGAAACCAGACCTCTGGGCAGGTATTTAGGAAGGTACGTTTCATTCCATCTTGAGGTGGGTCTAGAGTTGGATAGTCACTGGAATGAAGTGACTCTAGCAGGCCTAGAGACAGACATGGCCTTCTGTGAGTGGCCTCCTTCATGTGTTGCCCCTTGAGTCCACAATCATCACCATTCATGTGGCAGTAATATCTCAAGGATGCCACCTCGGACTTCATTCTTCCCTAAGCCATATATAAACTCTTTTCATATGGATCTGTATTAATAGAACTCTAAGTTTAGTTTCTGCAAAACCCTTATATAGTTTACATAAGAAGAGCAGATGAACGTTAAGAAACAAGTCAGGATTTGGAAACAGATTCCCAGATGGCTGTGGAGAAAAAGGAGGCAGAAGCAGCTGGTGTCACAACTAACTAGAGGTTCGAGGGAAAGTCTCAGGTCCTGTGAAGACTTGGTTTAAAGTGATGCAGGAATATTCAGACAGGAATCCTGGCCAGCAGATGGAGACTGACTACTAGAAGTGGAACCAGATTGGCTGGTACCCCGGGCACTAAATAAGTGGCCCTTTTAGGTGGCTTGCGAAGGAGACACCCAAAACATCGACTTGACAAGTAACTAATTCTTATTTTCAAAAGCACTGTGTTGGTTTCGCTCAGTACATCATCTGTCTGGATGTGGTTTGTGGAGGGCCAGTTAGTGAGTAAGCAGCCTGCTTGAGTGACTCCACCCTAAAAAATAATCCAAGGAGTCCATTCATATAAAAAGCCAAGGAAATGGTTATAAATAAACTCACAGGTGCTGAATATATTAACTGTCAGACTGAATTTCCTTTTTTAAGTTCAAGTTCTCTGTTCCATGGGACACCACTGATTTGAATTTGAGGTTTGTAACATTCTAATCCTCTCTCTCTCCTTTCTCTGATGGCTAATCTTGGCACACCTGGTAACAGGGAGCCTCAACTGAAGAATTGCCTCCTCAGTTTGGCCTACATGTCTAATTGATGGAGAGGGCGGAGCCCACTGTGGGTGGTGCTTTCCCTACATGGGGGAGCCCAGTGTGTATAAGCTGCATGTGAACCTGAGAAAAAGTCAGTCTGCAGTGTTCTATGGTCTCTGCTTCAGGCTTCTACCTTGGCTTCTGCCAGCTGTGGATTGTGACCTGGA